ACATGGTAGTAATCCAAACACCTGGTTGGTTGTGTGCCTTTATAAGCCCTGCAAATCTTTAGCTCAGGGCTCTCCTCCTAGGCTCCGCTGTGTCGGAGTGTAGGACGAGGCCCGAGCTTCAGCCCATCTAAATAAAACCTTAAAACAACTGTAAAGTCTGACTCTCAGTGGTCTCCTTGGTGGGGGTCCTGCTACTTGGGCACAACAAGGATGTGGGAACATGGCCACAGCCCAGGACAACTGTCCCTGCCCAGCTGTCAGGTTGAATTTTCCATCCTGGCTAACTGAATTATGATACAAGACATGGAAACCATTTCAAATACAAGTCAGCAGCATATTATGGTAGACAGGTAGGTAGAGTGGAAAATGTCCTAGTCAGAAGTTCCGGCAGAGTTCTTCCATGTACAGTACTGTAACATAAATAAGTGTGTCTGTATGACAGGAATATCCCATGGTCCTTTCCTGTGAGCGAGATGATGGTGAGTTTTGTGTTATTTCGAATGCAGGTGCTGGTGGCTCACGCCTGTCATCCCAGCTACTCAGGAGACTGAGATCTGAGGATTGAGCTTTGAAGCCAGCCCAGGCAGGGAAGTCTGTGAGATTCTTATTTCCAATGAGCCACCAAAAAGCCAGAAGTGGAGCTGTGGCTCACGTAGTAGAACACTAGCCTTGAGCAATGAACGCTAAGAAGGGACAGTACTCAGGCCCTGAGTTCAAGACCCAGGACCAGAATGAAAAAAAACAAAAAAACAAAAAAACTTAAACTACTATTGATACCAGCACTAAGGCAGCAAAGGTTCCTGTAGTATTCGGTTTGGGATTGCAAGCAACAGAAACTCTTGATTAAATAGCAAAGGGATTGATAATAAGTGCATACATACATAAATATATATTATTTATTTATTTTTGTCAGTCGTGGGGCTTGAACTCTGGGCCTGGGCGCTGTCCCTCAGCTCTTCAGCTCAAGGCGAGCGCTCTACCACTTGAGCCACAGCGCCACTTCTGGTTTTCTAGTGGTTTATTGGAGATAAGAGTCTCACGGAATTTCCTGCCCAGGCTGGCTTTGAACCGCGATCCTCAGATCTCAGCCTCCTGAGTAGCTAGGATGACACCAGCGCCTGGCTTTAGATAAATGTTTTAAAATAAAATACCCCCAGGGACATCTAGAGTCATCTAGAGTCCATGGGGAAGGAGTCCCAGGGAAATGGGGGATGGGGAAGCCCCTCCCCACATCCTCTTCTAAGTTTCTTCCTGAATGAGCGCCACCTGGCTGTCATCATCTCTGTGAACCTGCTCCCCGGTTCTGCTCCTGGTTCTCCCCCGTTCCGACTCTCTTCTCCATCCCAGCCCGCCTCACCCCATTACGTAACTGTCCCCTGTCCCCAGAGACCTTATGTAACCCAGTCACCTCTCACTCCTCACTCATGGATGGCTTGCTTAGGCCCTCAGCGAGAGGGAGACGGGAAAGAGTTGGAGGAGGAAGAAGAGGAGGAGGAGTACGAGGAGGAAAAGGAGGAGGAAGAAGAGGAGGAGGGAAGGAAGAAGGAGGAGGAGAAGGAAAGGAAGAAGAGGAGGAGGAGGAAGAGGAGGAGGAGGAAGAGGAGGAAGAGGAGGAAGAGGAGGAGCAGGAGGAGGAGGAGGAGGAGGCGGTGGCGGCGGCGGCGGCGGCCGCCCTTGGCCTTCCTGTCAGGGAACACCAACAGCTTTCTGCTCATTTCCTCTTTCCAGGCCTCAACTTTCCTATCTGTGAAACTGGGGACATACTATGCCTTGCAAGGCTATGGTGAGATCCAGAAATGCTCGTATTATTTACAGCAGCACCTGGGAGACCACTGAAGCTGTAGAGCTTGTGCTCTTGTCTGTGGAGAGACGTTTCTAGATCCGTGCACCTCAAATGATGGTTCTCAAACTTGACAGTCTGGGACTTTCTTTGTTCACTTTAAAATGAAGACACTGGGCCAGGCGCCAGTGGCTCACGCCTGTCATCCTAGCTACTCAGGAGGCTGAGATCTGGCAGTTCAAAGCAGATGGGAAAGTCCATGAAACTCATTTCCAGTGAACCACCAGAAAACCAGAAGTGGTGCTGTGTGGTTCAAGTGGTAGAGCACTAGCCTTGAGCCAAAGAGCTCAGGGGACAGTGCTCAGACCCCAGAGTTCAAGCCCCATGACCAACAGAAGAAAAAACAAATGAAAACACTGGTTTGGAGCACAGACTGTGTGTGTGGTGCGCAGACCAGCAGCTGCCCGGGAGCCCCGAGGCCCACAGAAGCCTCCTCTCTGTGAACCAGGGCTGGCATTTTGATAAGAGCTGCGGGTGATTTGCAGTGCAAAGCACCTGGGCTGGGCTTGGTGGTGTATACTCGTAATCCCAGCTGTACTGGAGGTATAGAGTTAGGAGGACCGCAGTCCAAGGCCAGCCCAGTCAAAAGCAGGAAACCCTATATGAAAACCAAAAAGAGCTGAGGATATGGGTATGGCTTAAGTGGGTCAAGTGCCTGACTAGCAAGCTCAAGGTCCTGAGTTCAAACCCCAGTAGGTACAAGAAGAAAAAGAAAAGAACACGCTGTATTAGGTATTTCCTGAAACCTCACCACTCAAGCTAAAGCTCCAGGGAACTGCACTGATGGTTCCAGAAACATCCCTTACAGGGGAGTGGGGTGAAGTGGGGAGACATAGTCAAGTTTGGTCCTATTTCTGCTACTTACCGGTTCTGAGGGGGGAGGGGTAAACCCTGGCCTTTCCATCCACTTTGTCATTGGTAAGATGACTCAGCTGCCAGCACCAGTGGCAGACACCACCTGTAATCTCAGCTATTTGGGAAGCTGAGATTAAGAAGCTCTTGATTCCAGGCAAGCATGGGCCGTGAGGTCTGTGAGACTCCATCTCAACAAAGAAGCTGGGCATGGTGGTGTACACCTACCATCTCAGTGACGGGGAAACCTAACAGACCATGATCTAGGTGCCTGTATGGCAAGAAGCAAGACCTTACATGAAGCTAAAATATATTTAATAATAATAATAGGCTGGGAATGTGGCTTATTTAGTGGTTAGAGTGCTCATCTTGCATGCAAGAAGCCCTGGGTTCGATTCCTCAGTACCACATACACAGAAAAAGCCAGAAGTGGTGCTGTGGTTCAAGTGGTAGAGTGCTAGCCTTGAGAGAAGCTCAAAGACAGCGTCCAGGCCCTGAGTTCAAGCTCCAGGACTGGCAAAAAGAAATAACAAATTAATAAAACCACTGCCGTGGCCAGTGCCCAGTGGCCAGCTCAGGCTGGGGGGGGGGGGGAGGTGGACGCACAAACACCGAGCCCCGCAGACGGCCGATGGCAAATGGTGGCCCTGCCTCGGGAGAGCCAGGGCGCGGAGGGAGCCACCAAATTCCATCAGCTCCAAATGAGCTGAGCGCCTGTGAGTCTGCCCCCCGGGGTGGGGGGCGGCCTGTACCCCACTGCCCACCCAGAGCCATTCTCTCCCAGGCTGGAGACGCAGGGAGACCCAGGCCCTGCCATCCAAGCGGCCCCGGACTGCTGCCGGGCCTTGCAGACACGGACATCAGCCGAGAGCACTGACTTCCGAGTCGTCGCTCTGGCAGGGGCCCGCTCTGGGCGTCGCAAGCCGCTGCGATGGGACGGATGGGACGGATACCCCACGGATGGGTCCCCGGGCAACCACCGCGGGGGCGGCCTGCACCGACCGACCGCGCCGACGCCGGTGCCGCCGGCGACCACCAGGGGGCGGCGCGCGCCCGCGTCCCAGAGCCGCGCGCGGGGCGGCGGGAAAGGCGAGGCGGCCCCGAAACGGCGCGGGGCCCGGGCCGGGGCGGCCGTGCGCGGTCTCCGAGACGACCCCGGGGCCGAGCGGGACAACCGCGGCCCGGGCACCGGGAGAGCGCAGACCCGGGCCCAGGAACTCTGCCTCCCCGTTTTCCCTAAAGGATAAAAGGCCTCCAAGGACCCCCGGGAAAGCGGGCTCGGCGGGAGCGGGGTGGGGTCTCCGCGCGGCGGGCACGGACGGCCAGCACCCCCAGAAAGAAGGGGTTCACCCGCACCCCCACCGCCGGGGGCCGGGGTCTCCCCCCCCCCCGCCCGGTGCCTGCGCGTCCTAGCGGGCCGGGGTGCGCAGGGGGCTGGAGTCCCGGGACGCGGATCCGGGGGACAAGGGGGACCCGCAAGCCCGGAGGGGACCCGGGGGTCCCCTACCCCGGAGGGAGCCGGTGCGACCCCGCCCGCCCCGTCCCGGCGGGTGAGGGGAGGGCGTCCGGGCCCTGGGCGCGCAGGGCCCCGGCCCCCCGCGTCTGTGCGCCCCGGCGGACGTGCGTGGTGCGCGCGGCCGCGGTGCTGGCGACCCTGCGTGCGGACCACGGGAGGGGCGCGCGGCGGGGACACCGCGCGGGCCGGGGGCCGCGGGAGGGGAGCGCGCCTGGCACCCCACGCACGCGGGGGCATCGGTGACGGCGGAGCGCGCCGCGGGCTCCGCCGAGCTTCCCGGCCCGCGCGGCTGGGGCGCGCCGAAGTCCGCGTTTACGGGCCGCGCTTGGGGTGCAATGCGGGCCCGGACGCGGAGGGGCCGCGGCCCGGGGACCCCCGTGGGGGCGGGGCTTCGCGGGGCGGGACTTTGGTGGTGGGCGGGTCAGCAGGGCGGGCCCTGGGTGGTGGAGCGGGGCTGTAGGCGGGGCGGGTCTTCGAGGGGGAGGAGCTGTCAGAGGAGGGGCTTCGCTTGAGGGGCGGGGCCTGGGCGTGGGAGCGGAGCCGTGGACGGGGCGGGGGCGGAGGCCTGAGTTGAGGGGCGGGGCTTGGCGGAGAGGCGGGGCCTGAGTGTCGGAGCCGTGGACGGGGCGGGGGCGGAGCCGTGGGCGGGGCCTGAGCGCTGGGGCGGGGCCTGTGGGCGGGGCCTGTGGACGGGGCGGGGCTGGCGGGGCGGAGCCGCGGGCGCTGCTGCAGCGCGGGCCGGGCCCGGGGGCGCCTTGCGCGGCAGCTGGACGCAGGGCGATGCGGTGAGGCGCGAGCGGAGGGCGGCGGGCGCTGAGCGGGCGAGCGGAGGCCGCAGCGGCGCTGCGGGGATGTGACTCGGGCCGAGGGCCAGCAGGATCGCCAGCGCTACGGGGCCGCGAGGGTCGGTGAGTGCGAGCCGCGGCGAAACGGGGGGCGACGCGGCGGGGACCCCCGAAACTTTTCCTGCCGTGGGCTTGGGAAGGAGGGAGGAGGCTTCTGCTTCGTGTCTGTCCCCCCCACGCCGGGGCTGAGCTGAGGGGGAAAGGGGGGGTTCGGGTGAAGAGAGGAGCCGCAGAGGGCGGGACGGGCCCCGACCTCCGAGTGGAGACCCAAGTCTTCGGGGAGGGCCTCGGGGTGACCCCAGGTAAAGGGAGTCACCGCAGCCGAGCCCGAGTGATTGGAGCCCGGGCAGGGCGCGGGAGCCGTGCTGCGGGGCGGGGGGGGGGGGCGGCTGGCGCTGGACCGGGCGGACCGACCGGGGCGCCGGGGCCGGGCGCGGGGGTCAGCCGCACCTGCCGCAGGGCCTAATGGCCGGGCCCGCAGCTGGGCCTGGGAGGGGGGACCGGAGGCACGGGCCAGGGGAAGGGGCGGAGCCGAGATCCGAGGCTGGGGGATAATGGGGGGGGCAGCTGCGTCCCATATGAGGAGGGGTCGTTTCCGTTCCAGATGCTGGGCACCGGAGCCAGGCTACGACTCAGGACTCGCCCTGTGCTGTGTCCTCTGTTCCCGGGGGCGGGGGGGCAGAGGAGCACTGGGGGGGGAGCCCAGGCCCTCCTTGGCGCGGGGGGGGGGGTAAAGGGGGAGGGCATAAGGACGCCCCAGAGCCTCGGGGTTCGTTCCCTCCCCAGGTCTCGCTCTGTTACACCCAGGCCTCGCCTAGTCCCCTCTCCTTGTCCCCCCCCCACTTCTTTTGCTAAGGGGGGCGCTGCTTGGAGCGCAGGACAAAGGCCCCTGGAGTGTGGCGGGCAGCGGCGTCCCCGCCTGGGGCCCCAACACACGCGCCAGTCTGGCTGCGGAGGGCTCCGGGATGGAGTGGGGGGGCACCCCTGCAGACCCCGGGGGGTCCCCCGCGACGACAGAGGAGCTGGGGGGAGGGGCCTGGCACAAAACCCTCCGTACTCTGTGGGCCAAGGCATGTTATTTCGAAGTTTCTTCGGTGGGGACCAAGGGGCTTTGGGAATCGCCCAAGGCTCCGAGTGAAACTGCATGGAAATGCATGCAAATGGGCATGTGTGGGTCCAGGACCCTCCTCCCCGACGGCTTTCTCCCCGAACTGCGGCGTGACACGTCCTCCTCCAGCCCCGACCGACAGTTGCTGTAAGTCTAAAAAAGGGGGGTCAGCTGAGTAGGATGGGGCGCGCAGGGAAGGAGTCGCTATTTGCGGCCCAGGCAGCGAGAAGCTTGGGAGTTCCTTAGAAAGATAAGCTCAGAATCTTTATTTGGACAAATATACCAGACACAGAACTGGAAGGGGGGGGGGGGCTGTCAAGCCCAGCCTTGTATAAATTGGACACACACACACACACACACACACACACACACACCACTAGGACAAGAGATGAAGGGTGTAGATGGATGGATACTGAGGAAGAAGGTAAAATACCTGACCAACATAGCATCTGTTTCCCACAGGGTAGCCAGAAGGCTGAGACATGGTGATGGCCCCAGAAAGTGACATAGAGCAGCTTGGGGGGAGGAGGGGGTCTCCCAGAGGGAGATCTTGAGGCAAGAATGGCTAGGAGGTGGGAATGAGCTTGTAGGACCGGAACAAAGGCCCTCGTGGCTGGAGCCTGTGGGCAGATTTGTGGGGAGGGGGGCCGCTGGGAAGGGAGGGGGTAGATAAGAGGCACCAGCCAGATCTTGCAGTTCTGAGCCATGACAATCTAGGGTTTATTCTGTTTGGGGCAGTGATCCCTTGCCGGGTTTTGAGCGGGAAGCCACAGGGACTGATTTTTAAACCATCCCCTGACCTCCGCAAGGAGACAGACAGGCCAGCAGCTCCCTTTCTCTTCTGCCATCCCCTGAATGGTGAGGCGCCGAGAGGTCCGGCTCCATCCAGCCCCGTGGGGACCGCTCTGAGCCTGGCCTGCCCTACCCTGCCCTGTGAGCCAATGGAAGTGTGGCTTCCATCCTAAAGCCCCGTTCCCCACTCTCAGGCAGTTCTAATCCATCCCAGGCTCTGGGCCCCTCCAGCATTTGCTGGCAGGGTTTGGAGGGGGTCTGGGGGGGAGGGGGGAGAGGGTGAGTCCGATTTAGTTTGCAGAATTACAACTCTAAAGGAACCTTCCACGCTGGAACTAACGGGCAGCCAAGGATACAATTTGCATTTAAATGATTGCTTTTATTTACAGGATTGCAGCTGCTTTGCATATTCATGGATATTCATGGGTCACAGAGCTGGTGTTCTTACAGCCCTGTTTACTAACCTAGGAGAGTTTTTACGTTTGAGATTGGGCCCACTCCCCATCCCCCACCCCCCAAGAGACCAGTGTCTTAGCTTGGAGAAATGAAGATTATGGGATGGAATAACTTGGAAAAGATAACCAGCCTGCGGAGGAGCTTCTCCAAGCTGGGAAAGACTCTAGTGTCAGGAAACTTTGTAACAGTTAAATCCAGGCAGCATTGTGAGAATAAGCTAGGGTGGAGTGTAATGCTGGGGTGCGTGGGACATGTGGGGGGTGTGATGCTCCCAGCCTCATCCTAGGCTTCTGTCAGATGGGGGAGGGAGGACCGAACAGGTGAACTGTGGTGGGATCTGGAACTGGGAGAAACAAAGTCTAGTCCCCAGGTGGCCAGTCCAGTCCAGTCCACGTCTGGCCAAGTCACTGGACCTCTCCGTCTCCATTGTCCCGAGCTTGTCTGAACAAGAGGTAGCCCTGGCTCCCTGTATGCCAGGCTCTACATGGAGGCCTTCCCTGGGGTTCGGGGTGGACTGCTTGCAGTGATTGTAGGAAAGCAGCAGTCACCCCCACTGTACAGATCAAGAAACTGAGGCTCTGAGTGGTTATGTAAGTGTCACGTGGTTCTGGCCTCGCTCCCACTGCTGTCTTTCAAGCCCAGGAGTCTGATGGGAGTGGAAACTGTGTCATTTATTCAGCTGGGTACTGAACTACTGAGGATGCCTGGGGCTAGGAAAGGCTAGGGAAGCTACGCGCTCTCTCTCTCTCTCTCTCTCTCTCTCTCTCTCTCTCTCTCTCACACACACACACACACACACACACACACACATTAACACATACACACTCACATCACCCTGCTCGATTTTTCTTCCCCTTCCATCTTCCAGTGCCCTCAACCACCACCATCTTAAGAATGGGTGGAGTTAAGATGCCTCTGACCCCCTCCTCCAGGTGGAGGACTAAATGAATAGCCCTGGGGCCACCAGAATGGCGTGTTCTTCCACAGCCCAGTGGGACACTGTTTCTCATTGCCCATGGGTAGATGAGGGAGAAGGGGATCCTGGTTCCTAGGTGCCCAGGTGACGAGTTGGCATCTAGGCTCCAGAAGGAGGGGGGGGTCTGAGTTCCGGGGTCCCTGGGCTTCACCTCAGGTCCTCTTCCCAGGAAGGCTAAGGCTCCTCTTAAGAGTACCTGCCTAGAATAGTTAAACACGGAGAAAGGCCCAGTGTTGGTGGCTCATGCCTGGAATCTTAACAACTCCGGAGGCGGAGATCTGAGGATCGAGCTTCAAAGCCAGCCCAGGTAGGCAAGGCTGAGAGACTGTTTATCTGCAATAAACCACAAGAAAACCAGAAATGGTGCTGTGGCTCATAGTGATAGAGGGCTAACCTGGAGCAAAAGAGTTCAGGAATAGTGTCCAGGCCCTGAGTTCAAGCCCCATGATGGGGAATGGGGTTCCCCAGGGGATAGTGTACCCCTCCAGGAATCTCCCGTTCACACCTCAGGAACTTGTTGCTTGTTGTGATGGGGAAGCTGGGAGCCACGGTGACCAACACCTGGAAGGGCCCAGTGGTCTCCATGGCAACCGCCCCTCCTAGAAAACCAGGGGTGGAAGAATTCAGTGTTTCAATTTCAAAGGAAGATCAGCCCATCTTTTATTCACTTAACAGACACTTCGGCTGAGTGTGTGCTCTGTACAAACTACTGTGCAACACCCAAATTGTTTTCTTGAGTGATGGTTGATTTATTGTATTGTATTGTATTGTATTGTATTGTATTTTGGAGACAGGGTCTCAATAGGTAGGCACAGGCTAGGCCTTAAAACTGAAGATCCCCCTTGCCTGCCTTCCAAAGCCGTGGGACACCACTCCTGGCTCTTAATTGTTATCCTAATTCTCACCACTAAACCATGGGGGGGGGGCGGGGAAAGCACTGTTATCACCCCAATTTCACAGATGAGGAAAGTGAGACCAAGAAGATGGAGTCTCAGAGGGCTAGCAAGTATTCTGGGACAGGTTTTCTTCCAGAGGAACTGGCGGGGGGGGGGGGGGGGGGGGGGGGGAAGACCCAGGAACTGGTCCTAACAAGGTAAGCTCTGAGCTCCACCCTTAACCCACAGGAAAGGATTTGAAACTGGGAAGGCTGACTCGAGCCATCTTGGCAAGGCGTTGGGCTGGAAGCCAGCCTTGTGTGTGGCCTCAGGCAGTTTTGCTGTCCTTCACACACACAGGGTCCCTCTGCAATTTCCAGCCACTGCAGGCAGGTCCCATTGCATGGAGAAATGGAGGAAGGAGACTGTCCACCTGCCAGCCGCTCCTGGCCCTCTGCAGAGCGACTGTATGTGTGTGCACACACACGTGCACGCACGCCTTGTATTTAAGAACTTCTCAGTGAGTCACATCTCTGGAAGCGTGGCTGGCAGCAGAGGTAATTAGTATGTGAGCCGAGTCTTGCACATTCATTCCCATTTATTCATTACCCCTTTGACGAGCCGCCTGCCTGCATCCCACAGGTTTGGGGTTGGGGTTTGTTGCTGGGGTTTATGCCATCGCAGTTACGCCTGTCTTAAGGAGTATTCCAAACCCGTAATCTGGTATTGTTCCTCATGGGGCTCCTGAGGAGCAGGCTGTTGGATGGGGGGGGGGGGGGGGGCAGGTGGCTGATGGTACAGGACTGGGTTTCCTGCCCAAGGGTATGCCCAAGGGGCAGGCTTCTCCACTGTGTGTGCCCTGGTTCTGGTCCTGCAGCCTCTGTGTGGCTCAATCAAACTTCAATTTAAATCTCTCAGACCCTCGGTTTTCTCCTCTATGAAAACATTGCCTTTCTGGATGATGTCAGGATCAGAGAGTGAATTTATAAATTTACTCATTTAAGTTCTGGAACTCAACAGACAAGGGTAGCCCAGGCTTTATCCCTCATGCCTATTAGCCCAGCTACTTAAGAGTTGGGGATCAGAAGATGGAAGCTGTAGGTCAAGCCCAGACCAAAAAGTTCGTGAGACTCCACCTCTACAAACAAGTCAGATGTGCTGGTACACATCTATCAGCCTAGCTATACAGAGGGGGAAATAGGTAGGAGGCTCATGGTCTGAGGCCAACTTGGCTATATATATATATATATATATATATATATATATATATATATATGGAAAAATTACAGAAAGTAAAAAGGCCTGAGTGGGTGGGTGTGTGCCTAGACTTGGGGTCTGGTGGAGAGAAGCAGATCAAAAAGAGTAATAAAATAAAATAATGGAAAATAATGACGAAGGTCATAACTGGTGTTTGAGCAGTGGGAGAACAGGGAGGACCTGTTTTAGGCTGGCAGGCCTCTCCAAGTGATGCTCCCTTAGAGCCTGGGCCTGTGGAGGAGCCAGGGACAATAAGCACAGTTATTTGCCTTGGGCTCCACCCCTTCCTGGCTTGACCTTGGACAAGCCCACTGGCTCTGGACCACAACATTTAACTCCCATCCCATAAGTGAAGATAGTGCAAGGAGTTGCCTTGGGTTCATCTCTAGATTCTTGCGTGTTGCTGATGTGGCAGGCACCCAAGGGTGCTCAGAACATAGGAAGCAGTTACCATGGTGCCACTCAATGTGGAAGAATTTTGAAAGCATCTTTGTTGGCAAGTTCACATGGCCTTAATTCCCAACAGGGCCTGCTTGGAATGGCAAAAGACCAGACTTGGTTTCAGGCATGGATGAACCCAGCTGCACAGAGTACTAAACCTTTAGTCTGTCCCTTAGCTGTCTCCTCTGGGTCAGCTTTACTCAGAAAGGCAAGCTGGTTCTTCTCTACTTCTAGCTTACCAACTCCAGCAAAAACACCAAGATCTCTTTCCAGTTATTGTGAGCAAAATTCCCGTGGCTGATTCTTATAGGTCTGTTTGGGGCTAGGTCTATCTGAGCCAATCAGTGTGGCCAAAGGGTAGGACTAATGATCTGATTGGCTAGACCTGAGGTGGTAGCTTTCCAAAGGAAAACCAGGGGCTCTCTTTAGAAATGGGAGAACCAAAGGGTTCTACCTTGCAGGGATGGAAGCAGAAAGCATTAGTGTATCCATTTCCTGTCAGAAAGGAGGCAGGACCTAAAGGCCTGGACCCAGCTTCGGGAGCTTTGGGCACCATCTTGGTGTTCTCATGATGTCTATAGATTTCCTGTTGGAGTTGGAAAGTCCAGCAAGAGCAGCTGTGAAGTCAGGCCAGGGAAGAGAGCTCCCCCCTGAGAAAGAGAGTGATCTTACTACAGAAGGCCAAGTTCTTGCAAGGACGTGCCATGGGGTGCAGGCCCAAGGCCGCCTGGTTTCCCGGCATCGACCACACCAGCTCTGACTTTAATGTCTAAGCCAGGCTTTTCCAGCTGGCACCCCATTGCCTTCCTGAGCTGGATAATGCTCTGTGATGGAGACTGTTCTTTGAATGATAAAGAATAGGCGCCATCCTTGGTTTCCATCCAACAGATGCCCTCTTTCCAACTGTGAGAACCAAAAATGTTCTTAGGAACCAGGTATGGTGGTTACTTGGGAGATCAGGAGGACTGAGGTTCAAGATCAAACTGGGAAAAAAGTTAAACAAGCTCCCATTTCAATCAATAATCTGCATGTGGTGGTACACAGTGCCTGTAATCTCAATTTATATGGGAAGGTAGGAGGCTTAGGTAGAAGGATAGAGATCTGAGGTCAGCCCCAGGAAAAAAGCAAGAGACTCTCTCTGAGAAATAACTAAAGTACAAAGGGTTCAACTGGTTGAATACTTACCTGTCAAACAAAAGTGCTCTTTGACATTGCTAAATGTCCCCTGGAGTGTGGTGTGTGTGTGAGAGAGAGAGAGAGAAAGAGAGAGAGAGAGAGAGTAAAGTATAAAATTGCCCTTGGTTAAAAACCACTAGCTCGGGGTTGTTGGATGGGGGGGGGGGGGAGGGCGGGGAGAGTGGGCAAGACTCTAGAACCCCTGGGAGACACTTAGAGAGGCTGCCTGGGGTATGTTTACTGAGACTGGCTATGACACATCTCAGTTGCCGCCTGCTTCTAGAACTTTGTGACAAGCAGTTCTGTCTAGAGCGACCTTCTCTGGTGGTATCACATGGGATGTGCCCAGTGGGTGTGCTACGGGAGTGATCCCAGGGTGCAGTTGTGAGACATGGTGATGGACACGTTTGGAGGTGTTAGGTGTTAAGTGGGTCGAGCACAAGGCCCTGGCAAGTCTGCCAGTGACATACAGGTTGCGTGTGAACCCAAGAGTAAGTGAGGAGACCACCAAGCCAGCTCGTCACTGACATCCAAGCTGCCCCTGCATCCCTGAGTTTGCCCGAGTGCTATGCTGGGCTCTTGTTGGAGGAGCCCTGTCTCGCTGAGTGTCTTGCCTGCTTCCTTCAGTTTGTAGGCCAAGGAGACAGCCCCAACCACCAGCCATCTTCTGCATCAACAATGATTTATAGCCGGCCTCCTGGCCCAGGCGGGATCTGAGATGCTCACAGGAAGAACTGAGAAGCAGCCCAGTTGGGTCGATACTGAATTTACTTATGGAAGCCCCAGGGGTGCTACCTGCTGCTGCTGCTGCTGCTGCTGCTGCTGCTGCTGCTGCTGCTTCAGGAGGACAGGTGGCTACAAGCCATCAAGGGCTGAGTTAGGCCAGAAATGAGCAAGAGTCCAGCTTCCAGGGTTGTGGCCCCACTCAGAAGCAAGGCATCGGTAGCATGGGGACAAAGACCAGTCACGAAGGATTTATGACATATCTACTCCATGCTCTTCCGTGCCATATGGGACATTTGGTGGTGTCTAGAGACATCTTGGATGGGGAAGGTGACGCACACTCCTGGCAGGTCTTGTGAAGGGCAGGGAGGCTGCCTACACAGGGCAGGCCCAACAACAAAGCGCCATTCTTCCAAGGCTGAGAAAGCCTGGTCTACGGATGAGTAGATAAGGCCCATCCTGCCACGTCCCCCGTTCAGCCACATCTTGCAGGAAGGGAGGAGAGGACAGGAAGGGGGGAGAAGAAGAAACAAGAGAGGCAGCAAAAAGCAGAACAAGCAACAATAATGACAACAACAACAACCAAAAAAAAAAAAAATGACCGGCTTGATTTCAGTGAAGAAAGGAGACAAGAGACCGCTGTCTGGGGTGGGGACGAGGTGTTCTTGGCCCGAGTTGGCGCTGATGGCCTCAGAGCCGAGCTTGGGGGAGGAGAGGCAGAAGATTGCACAGCGATCTAGAGACACACGGGGCTGTGTCCAGGCAGAGGGGTGCCGGATGCAAAGAGAACACTTGGGGGAAGTGCATGGGGGAGGCTGCTGTGTGGAGGGGCTGCTTGTCTGGGGACAAGAGAGAGAGAGCTTCAGAGAGTGGGTGGCTTGAGCCTCCAGAGATTGCGGGAGGAAGACCACTGTGTGAGAGCGAGGTAGGGCAGGGAAGGGAGGGTGACAGTGTCTTTTGAACAGCGTTCCTCCTCGGTATCTTATGGGGAAGGGAAGGCTGTTCCAGGATAGCCTGGGCACCCCCAATGGGGTCTCAATCAGTATCTGAGGATGCTTAAGTCATTCCTAGGGGCCTTATATGCTAGGTCCGTATTTATTTTCCTATTTAGACAAGGGAAAAAGTGGATATAGTGCCCACCCTTCATCTTCCCCATCCACAGATGCCAAGGTTCTACTACCTGTGAGCCTCCGAGAGGCTGGAGAAGGTCTCTTATAGGACTCATGGCAGGGGGAGGGGGTTCACTTGGAACAGGTGTCACTTCCTGAGATCCTGTGTGGTATCCTATACAATGGAGGTCACAATAGGACCTTGCCTCACAGGGCATTATGAGCACTAGCTGTGTCCAGTTGCTAGGTCCACAGCGAGCCATCTGTAACATGTTAGCTGTTACGGTTTGGAGATTGATACAGGGGATGTGTGTGGTGGTTCCAGCTCACAGTGCCTAGCCTGTAGCTGTCCTTTTAAAACTTCCTTATTCCCTTACTTCTGAAGAGGTCGGACGTGGCCAGCAAGTATTGAATGAATAAAGACATGCAGAGAAGGTGAGTTGGTTCTTTGTCCCAGCTGGGCCACCGGCCACTTGTGATGGTGACTTCAGGGTGGTCGCTGGTCCAGGTCTGGGGTGCAGATGGGAGATGAAGGCTCTGGGAAGGCCACAGAGCCTGGGAGAAGGTGGGGTGCCTTTCCAAGGGGCCAGGTGGATGGGTTTGTGGCAGATCTTCAAGAAATTGGGAGAGAGGGGATCCTCACAATGGCTTGATCTTTCTAATCATTCCTACCCCATCCCCCACCCTATTTTCTAGAACATTCCAAGTATCAGAGAGAAAGATGAGAACTCACCAGGTGCTCCCTTTCCTCGTGCTCTTGGTGATCGCCTCTGTGGCCTCTGAGAACGCCAGCACGTCCCGGGGTTGCGGGCTGGACCTTCTCCCTCAGTACGTGTCTCTGTGCGACCTGGACGCCATCTGGGGAATCGTGGTGGAGGCAGTGGCCGGGGCGGGCGCCCTGATCACGCTGCTCCTGATGCTGATTCTCCTGGTCCGGCTGCCCTTCATTAAGGACAAGGAGAAGAGAAGGCCGATATGCCTGCACTTCCTCTTCCTCCTGGGGACCCTGGGCCTCTTCGGGCTGACCTTCGCCTTTATCATCCGGATGGACGAGACCATCTGCTCCATCCGCCGCTTCCTCTGGGGCGTGCTCTTCGCGCTCTGCTTCTCCTGCCTGCTGAGCCAGGCGTGGCGCGTGCGGAGGCTGGTGCGCCACGGCACGAGCCCGGCCGGCTGGCAGCTGGTGGGCCTGGCGCTGTGCTTGATGCTGGTGCAGGTGATCATTGCCACCGAGTGGCTGGTGCTGACGGTGCTGCGTGACACGAAGCCTGCCTGTGCCTACGAGCCGATGGATTTCGTCTTGGCCCTCATCTACGACATGGTCCTGCTGGCCATCACGCTCGCCCAGGCTCTCTTCACGCTGTGCGGCAAGTTCAAGAGGTGGAAGCTGAACGGGGCCTTCATCCTCATCACCGCCTTCCTCTCCCTGCTCATCTGGGTGGCCTGGATGACCCTGTACCTCTTCGGCAACATCATCATGCGGCAGGGAGATGCCTGGAGCGACGCCACACTGGCCATCACGCTGACGGCCAGCGGCTGGGTCTTCGTGATCTTCCACGCCATCCCTGAGATCCACTGCACCCTCCTGCCACCCCTGCAAGAGAGCCCGCCCAACTACTTCGATACATCGCAGCCCAGGATGCGGGAGACGGCGTTCGAGGAGGACGCGCACCTGCCGAGGACCTACATGGAAAACAAGGCCTTCTCCATGGACGAGCACCATGCAGGTAGTTGGGGAGCACGTGTGGGCCGCTCTGGCATGCCGACTTTGGGGGGCCCCCCTCCTACCTCGCCCCCGGGGCAGGTGTCTAAGTGCTGTGGCTTTGGGCAGGTTGCAGGATCTCTCTGAGCCGTAATTGATATAATAGGAATGAATGAGAGAGTGTGTTTCATAGAGCTGTCCTGGGAGGTGGCATACAAGCACCATGCCCCTGGAGGAACTGGCATGGAGCTTGCCAGTCCTAGTTGGGTTCTTTCCCCCCCCCAAAAAAAAATCAGACTGGGGGGCAAGGCATTATTTGGGGTGGAGAGCGAGATGTGATGACAGGTCATCTGGAGTGGGTCACAGACAGTAGGGGCTCCATGCTGCTTGGGAATCCTTTGAGGACATGAGTAGAATGTCCCCCAGCTGGCCCACCACAAACACCTGCCTCCCAGTTACAAGTCCCCAGAACTCCTGAGTGGGCTGAGCAAGTTCCGCTGGGTTCTGGGACTGGAAGGAAGAGCCAGTGGGACTTGAGCGACATTGTCCAGGTACCCGGGACTGCACGTCCCTGCTGTAGCCCTGACTCAACACCAAATCACAAGGGGGTCCGGTGCATGACCCAGCATGCTCCTTGGAACTGTCATGTGAAAGGAACTGGCTAGGTTCTTACACCCAACATTAAGTAAAATAACCTGTCCAAGCATTGGTGGCTCGTGCCTGTAATCCCCATCAAGAGGCTGAAATCTGAGGATTGAGGTTCAAAGCCAGCCTGGACAAGAAAATCTATGAGATTCTTATCTCCAATGAATCACCAAAAAGCTGGATGTGGAGGTGTGGCTCAAGTTGGTAGAGTGCCAGCCTTGAACAAAAAGCTGAGGGACAACACCCAGACCCCTGAGTTCAAGCCTAAGGACTGTAATAACAACAACAACAACAAAAAATGAGAGCTGGTAGGTATGGTAGTACATGCCTGTAATTCCAGCTACTCAGAAGGCAGAGGTTAGTAGGATTGCAGTCCATGCCTAGTCCGGGCAAAAGTGTGAGACCCTATCTGGAGAAGAGAGAGAGACAGAGAAAGGAAGAGAGAGAGAAGGGGGGAAGGGAGGAGCAAAAGGATGAGAGCATGACTCAGATTAGGCACAAGGCTGTGAGTTGAGCCCAAGGGTACAGCTGGGGAATAGGACCCACAAGGAGAGTTGGCTGGGCACGATGATGCACATCAGTGGAAGGCAGAAGGCAGAAGCAGGAGGCTCGAGTGTGGGCAGTGCTGTCCCACGGGGTGCTGAGGTCAGTGTTATGGTGGCCATGCCAAGGTCAGGAGCTCCAGAGCTCCGGGAGCTTTTGGATACTGCGGTTTTCCATCAGGCACTGGGATTTATTTTCTGATCTTTCGCGCAGTAAATACTCTGCTGGCCTCCGCTTCCCACAGTAGCTGACGCTGCACCAAGCATGATTTGTTCTTCGTCCAGCTTTTGGTCAGTTAACTCTTTGCAGGAATAAAAAGAAAACTTCCTATATCCACACTGAAATGCCCACACTGCACCCCAGAAAGGTAGACTAAGAAGTGCTCCCCCTCACCCCACAATCTGTTCATTCCATTCGAGCCCTTCTCAAAACCCTACCTCTCCAATAACCTTGGGTATTGTCAGATTTGGGGGAGGAGGGGAATAAGGTTTACTGGGGTTTGAACTCAGGACCTCACACTGGCTAGGCAAGTACTGTACCACTCAAGATATGCCTCCACACTCTTTTGTGTTTTGTTTTGTGTTTTTGATCCCTCCTTGGGATCATCCCCAGTGCGTTGCCAACAAGGTTCACAGGAGCAAGCAGAGCAGGCTTGGGTAAGGAAGGCCCTTTCCCTCCAGAAGCTCACACAGAGAGAAATCTAGATGGTAGAAGGCCTAGATGGACAGCCTTCATTTCAGAAACCCTTGCTCTGCTGGCAGGGGACCCATATGGGCATACACCTTTGCCAAGGTAGGCACAGCTGCTGGCATCTGTGGTACTGACTTCAGCCAGTTTAGGAACCTGGCCCCCATAAGGGGGCCTTACCCCTAAGCCCACTGGACTCAGCCCAGGAGCGGAACTTGATTGTGTTTCTCTGGCTTCTGAAACTTCTGGCCAGCCTTTTGGCCTCTCTTCCTTTAAGAGTGTGTCTGAGGTGGGAGGAGGGGCTGTACCATGGTGGCTGAGCCATGCCCAGGCTGCGTCATACCCAAACCTCCCTCAGCTGGGACCCCAAAAATCTCCCGCCGCACCAGTCTGTTCCTTTTTGTTGTTGCTGTTGGTCGTGGGGCTTGAACTCTGTGCCTGGCCGCTGACCCTGAGCTCTTCAGCTCAAGGCTAGCGCTCTACCACTTGAGCCACAGCGCCATTTCCGGTTTTCTGGTGGTTAATTAGAGATAAGAGTCTCATGGACTTTCCTGTCCAGGCTGGCTTTGAACTGTGATCCTCAAATCTCAACCTCCTGAGTAGCTAAGATTACAAGTATGAGCCACCAGCGCCCGGCTCTGCTACTTATTAATAAGAGTCCCCAGGGTATGTGATAAAAGATTAAAATAAGTCTCAGATCACATGTTAGGAGACGTTTCCGAGCCATAGTAAATGTTTACCTTTTAAGGGTGAAGTTGTAGTTTGAGTGGTAGAGTGTCTGTCTGGTAAACTTGAAGTCCTGCGTTCAAACCCCAGGACTACAAAAAAAGGAAAAAAATAGTTTACCTTTCAAGGAGCAAGACAGAGAATGTGTTATTTCTTCTTCTCTTTGAGGCTTTGTGCTTTAAAGATCTCATTAGAAGCCAGGTGCTCATGGCTCACACCTTAATTGTAGCCACTCAGAAGGCTGAGTTCTAAGAATCACTGTTCAAAGCTACCCCGGGCAGGAAAGTCCACCAGCCCAGGAAAGTCTATGAGCCTCTAATGTCTAATTAACCAGCAAAAAGCTGGAAGTAAAGGTCAGGTTCAAGTGGTAGAGCACTAGCCCTGATCAAAAAAGCTAAGGGACAGTGCTCAGGCCCTGAGTTCAAGCACCAGCACACACACACACACACACACACACACACACACACACACACACACGAATGCACAGTTCACACACATGAGATCTCATTAGGGCAAATAAACTGGACCTTTGCTTCCTGCCTGGCAACACAAGAAATGTCTGGCATTCAGTCTATGTGCTTTTTGGTCCCATGGGGGATCCCCTATGGGTGAGCCAGAACTCAGTGCCTTTCAGATCTGGCCCAGGTTGGGAAGAGTGTTACTCAGGCCTCTTGAAGCTTGTTGCAAGTTAGTAATTTAGAAATCCAATTTGAATAGACAAAGGCACTAAAAAGAAAAACAGCAACCTTCCCCTGCCCCAAAGTTACTGGGCAGCAGGCTTCAGGAAGGATTAGATTCAGGAGACTCAAGTTACATCAACATTTTCTCTCCATCTCTCAGTTGCTGGCATCAAGACAGCCCATAGCTCCAGAGTCTGGGAAGAGAGATAGGTGCCAGGAGGCTGGTGCAAAAATCCCAGCTTTAACTTTGATTGGACCTGAAGGCCATTACCTAAACCAATCAGTGTGTTTGGAACAGGAAAAGAGGAATGCTCTGATAGGTCAGACCGAAGTCACATAATCACCTCCTCAGATAGGGAGAAGGCAATAGTCAGGAGTCTAGAGTGTTTGGGAGGGATATTCACCAGAGAATCACAAATAGCTACTACAGAGAGAGGGGCACCCTACCTCTGGCCAAGGCACCCCACCGGTGAACAAGAGACTGGAACCTTTCTGTCTGTGACAAGAATGTGTTTGTAGGCCAAGTCTCTCACCACATCTACTGAGGGTTCATTTCCTTTCTGCTCCCTGAGGCATGAGATTAGCAAGAGTCTATAGATGGGCTTTCCCATTCTGTGCTTTTCCCAGCAGCCCCCCAGAAATCCAAGCTGTCTTGTTACATTTTTAGCCAGCATAGTGTCTATTCTCAGAATAAAGTGAATCCTTTTTCAGTGAACCGTGTGTGTGTGTGTGTGTGTGTGTGTGTGTGCGTGCGCGTGCGTACACGCACACTAGAACTGGGGCTTGACCCCAGTGTCTCAAGCTCTCTTGGCTTTTTTACTCAGTCAGCACTCTACCACTTGAGCCATAGCCCACCTCTGGCTTTTTTCAGGTTCATAGGAGATAAAAGAGTCTCACAAACTTTGCTGCTTTGAACTGCAGATTCTTAGATCTCAGCCTCCTGAGTAGCTAGGTTACAAGCGTGAACCACTGGTGCCCAGCTAACATGAGTATTTTTCAATGAAGATGATAAAGATACCATCCTATAGTTGATAGGATTTTTGCTGTTGCTGTTGTTATTGTTGTTGTTGTATGTTTTACAGTGCTGGGGATGGAACCCAGGGCTTCATGCATGCTAGACACGTTCCCTATGGCTGAGCCACTTCCCCAGTCCTAAGAACCCAGCATAGTTTTGCACAGTCCCGTGGGCTTCTGACAAATGCATATCCTTCTATAGTGCCCTATTGAGTGTTCACTGCCCTCAGATGCCACCAGGTCCATTCAGCCACCCCTCTCCCACCCACTGCAGCCCTGATCTAGACCCTGACAATCAGTAATTTCCGCCTGTCTCCATAGCACTGTCCTTTCTAAAAAATGACATTGTTGGAACCACACATTACAAGGGTAACACACTGGATTTTTTCACTTGGGAGCATGTGTTTCAAGCTCCTCCGTGTCTTTTTCATTGTACTTTTTTTTTCTTTGTACAAAAAGAAAAACCCTCAAACATTGAGTTCTATTGGCTCTTGCCTGTCATCAGGAGGCTAAGATCTGAGGATCAGGGTTCAAAGCCAGCCTGGGAAGGAAAATCCGTGAGATTTGTCTGCAGTTAACCAGCACAAAGCGAAGTGGAGCTGTGGTAGAGCACCAACCTTGAACAGAGAAAAAAAAAAATTAATAGTGACCAGGCCCTGAGTTCAAACCCCAATACCAGCACAAAAGAAAAATCAAAAAAGGAAGTCTCACTCCCAAAGTAAAGCAACAAAGCAGAGTAGGATCTGTCCTCCTGTCAAGGGGAGAATGCTGACTTATTTTGTCCAAGGCTGCCTTTTTGCTTTCCCGTTTCAAAATAAGCCTACATACATGGGAGGGTCGCTTTCCCACAAGGACAGACACCGTGGTGCACTTGCTGTCCCTGTTCTCAGCCAACCCTATCTCTGCCTGCTGCATGGAGACAGCGACTGCCAAGCCTGTCACTGACCTGAGCCCCCGAAGGTCTCCATTGTGCAGAGAGGCGAAGGACTCTTTTGTGAAAGGAACCTGAGGCACCTGTCCCTTAAGGGGCCTGCATGGGGTGGGGAGGGTCAAGGTTTAGCCCTGGCCTTCTCTCACTCTGACCCTCATCCTGGACTCTACAAACTTCCCAGTCCCACTGAGCCAGGTCAGGTGGTAGAGAGGCCGAGAACAAAGCTTGTTTGTGACTTCTGAATCAAAGCTTGTGACTAGGGGGTGGAGCTACAGTGGTGGGCAGGCAGTGGGGGTGCCAGATTGGACTGTGTCCCTGATGCAGGGAAAGAAAACCGAATTGTCTCTCTTTTTTTTATGTTGTCCTCCTGCCAATCCCTCCCCCTTCTCTCCCCTCCCTCCCTCCCTCCTTCCTCAGCTCTTCGCACAGCAGGATTTTCCAATGGCAGCTTGGGAAAAAGGTCCAGTGGTGGCAGCATGGGCAAGAAACCCAGCGTCACCACCGGGAAGAAACCAGGTGTCTTGGGAAACCAACCAAGCGCTCCGTTTAGAAGCAACGTGTATCAGCCAACCGAGATGGCCGTCATGCTCAATGGAGGGACTGTAAGTATCTAGGTGTGAGCCTCAGTGTCCCATTCTGTGTCCACAGCTGCTTTTGGCAGCTGCTTTTTGGGGACAGGCAGCCCTGCCAGCTACCTGCATGCAAAGCTTCTGTTTCATCTTCCCCTCTGACCCCTTTCTCCACACACAGAATATTCACCTCTGCCCACTCCTTCTTTCTTGGGATTCTTTTTCCCAGTGAATTTCCTAACATCTCTTGGGGAGAGGCGACATGAATGAAAAGCCCCCAATGATAAGAATCTCCCTCTCAGATTTGGCTGATGTCCACCTAGATAAAGCCCCCCCCCCATCACCACTCTGGGTAATGTGTCCTAGTTGGGTACTACCCTCCCTCAACTCCCTGTAAGAGACATCTTGAAGAACTGAAGCTCAAAGACAAAAGCTGTTTACTATCTGATGCCAAACAGATCATCAGCAGAACTGTCGCCCTCTCCGTTTTTGCCTCTGTGGAGTGACATCATTTTGCTTCTCCAGCAAACCAAAGATGCTCTCTCATCCTTACATTTATTTTCCAAACATAGCTACATGCTTCTTTCAGCAATGACCCATGAGCCAGTTTACATGTGTAAACTGGATTTCCATTCTTTATTTCACATGACCATTTCATAACAACCTGAGTTGTTTTGGGGTTTTGTTTTTTGTGTCTTTCAATGGAAGTCAAGGATGGTTTGATCTTGGGTGGGGAGCTTTGTCTTTTCTAGCCTTCAAAATGGAACCTGCTTGGCCCTTGTTCACATTGGTCTGGAACAAGCACAAAAAATCAGTCACAGATTTGTGTTCTTAAAACCCCTCTGCAACCCACTGAGTTTATTGGCCCATTAAGGAAAGTCAGGATTCAGGAAGCTTTGGCTTGTGTCATAATAAATATGGCCAGAAAAGGCCAGATCTATCACAATTAATCATTCCTCCTTGTCCTTCAAGGCCAATGTGGAGAAATAAGTACCAAGTCTTAGAATGGGATTAAGTTAGAAACTATGGACACACCCAGTGGTAGAGTGCTCAGAATGCTCCAAGGTGTTGTATTCCATCTCCAGCACACCAAAAAGGGAGGGAGGGACAGAGGGAGGGAAGCAGGGAGGGAGGAAGGGAGGAAGGGAGGAAGGAAGGAAGGAAGGAAGGAAGGAAGGAAGGAAGGAAGGAAGGAAGGAAGGAAGGAAGGAAGGAAATGGAAGAAGGGAGGGAGGAGAGGGAGGGCCTGGGTAAGGAAGCATATTCCTAGGTCAAAGTAAGATAAACACCTCCACCCCACTCCCACCCCCTACCCCCGGGCACATTGTGGTAAGGAGGTCAGCTTCTGACGTCATCTTTGCCAACCACCAGAGTTCTCAGTGTGTTACCCTTGTGTGTCATTCCAGATCCCAACCGCTCCGCCAAGTCACACTGCAAGACACCATTGGTGACAGACTTTTCAGTTCCAGAGAATAAGAATCTCTCTTACCGATTTTATTCCCTGGCCGTGTCTTTCTTGAGGGAGAAATCAGTAACCGTAGCCGACCCAGGCCACCTCGCAGCCAGCCAGGAGATGTGGAAATCCCAGCCAAGGGATTTCGTGTAAATGTGAACCCGGATGAACTGAAAAGCTAACACTGACTGCCCCGCCTCCCCCCCAACACACACACACACACACACACACACACACACACACACACACACACACAATGCTAAACCAACCTATCTGTGCACACTGAAGCAGAGCTCATTGCAAATAGTGTTAGGGCTCACTCAGAGATGTGGCTAGGAAGAGAGGTAGAATAAAACCAAATTGGGCCCGGCGGAAGTTGATTTATTATGGCAGAGGAAGGTGGGGAGACACCTTTCCACCCTCCTCCAACGAGGGCTGGACCCTAGGGGGCCTCTTGGAAATGACCTAGTTGCTGAGCACAACTCCGGGCTTGCCTGTGGCTGTCACATTTCAGAGCTTAGAAGGCTATGGGAGTGATAAGCTGAGCCCAAGCAAAGCATGGGGGAGCTTCATAATCAGTAGTGGTGGAGGGACGCTGGCACGGGCCAAAGAAAAAATACTCTCTGGGCCTTGAAGTGACCAACTCATGGAGAAAGTGGTGACTCTTGCTGGAGCCTTATTGCTGAGGCAAGAAAAGCAAGTCCCTCCCCCTGCCTATTTGGGCAAGCAATGGCACCTTCTCCCTTAACCATCTCTTATTCCTGCACTTACAGATGCCCCTCTAAGACCTTTCCCAATCATATTCTCATGTCCATGTCAAATGCTCAAATCAGATCCATCACCCAGCTTGAACCTACCATCCTCTCCCCCCAACCTTTTTGGAGACAGGTTGGAAGGCCAGGTGCCACAGCAGCCTTTCTGTGATGATGTCCCATTGTTCCCCCACTCCCCTAGGATGGAGAGGTGTGGTATTCTTCTGTCCAGCAAATAAGGATTGTTCTCCATGGCTGTGGGGAAGGTTCCAGGGTACAGTGAACCATGTGAGGGTTTCTTACTTCTGGAGGGGGGTGGGAGGGTGTATGCACCTTGGGTTTTGTTGTTGTTGTTGTTTTTTTGCTGGTTTCATGCAAATGGCTGTCCTCCAAGCCCATTTTGCTTCTGTCGTGATGCCCATCTGTCCTGAGCAAGTCATTCCTTTGTTATTTGGCATTTGCAGCATCCCAGCCATTAAAAGCCCTGTGTTCTGTGCACTGTTTGGCCAGCATAATCGCCAGCACCCATTCAAGGCAAAAGAGTTTTTAACCTGACGGCGTGGAATGTAGACACAAGGGAGGGGCCTTCTGCATCTAATCACTATGTTGCTTTTTCTATACAACTACCCATAAGCCTTTAACCTTTAAAAAAAATGGAAAAAGAAAAAATAAAAGGGTTAGTGTTCGGAGGAAGGAGGGAGGACATGAGTCCTTCAGAAGCCAGTACATCTGAGCCAAGTATGTTTTAATAAACCTGATTTTCCCCCCCATCGGGACCCTAGTCTTCTGCTGCATCCCCCTTCCCTACACAACCCTGCCCGTCCTTGCAGACCGCTGGGGAGATAAAGGCCAGTGTGGTCAGCCATGTGTGGCCAGCCATGTGTGGCCAGCCTGTGGCTTTTCCTGACTGCTCGTGTATTTCCATGCATGGGGACAAGCAAGCATGGCACTGACCTATTACTGACCTATTACTCCTGCCTGACGCCTCAAGCATGTGTTTCCTCTTAGAGAGCTCCCACCATGCCTCAGGCTGAACTGAGGGTCTTGGGGAAGGAGGGAGAGCAGCTAGGGTGGGACTAAGGGAGGTGCATGTAGACTGGGCGTTGTGAAAATGTAAACACTCGCTGAACACTTGGGGGCCCATCCTGGTGGAGGCGGAGGACACCAGCAGTACACCTTCTCCTGCCAGGAGATGGTCGCCCAGCCCCGCTGTCTGGAGTCCTTTGGAGCTTTCTGATGCCATCCGTGACTCACCCAGACCCCCTCCTTACAGAAGGGGGGAGAGTTCACCCCATCACAGTGGAAGTGAACGCGGGACAAATGGCGATCCGCAGATCATCTCTGAGCCGTGGGAAATTCCTTGAGACCTTTAGGGTATTTGTTTTTCCTTTTCAAATCTCTTTGGTAGGTTAGTGCGCCTCTGGGTTTTTGTTTATTTTGGCTTTTTTCTTCTTCTTCTTTAGGACCAGGGTGAGCTGAATGTTCTCAGGATGGGTGGAGGTGGGAGTGAGGGCAGAGGGAGAGATTTGCTATTCTTGCCATGGGTTCAAAGTTCAATCTGAGGAGTGCCAGGAACAGCTCTTCACCACCCAGAGCCTGTGGAGGCAGCACCCCCCACCCCAACAAAGCTAAAGTACAGACTGGCCTGTCTCTTTAAGATCTGGTGGTGTAAACAAAATGGGGAGGGGGGGGGTCCTGCCACCACAGCAGCATCTGTGAATAATCCCCAATTGTAAGCACAAATCTTCACACATCCGGTTAGTGACAGACATCTCTTTGGGACTATCCTAGCCACTCCTGTCCCTTTTATGAAGCTTGTTCTATCTTGGGGTGAGGGGCCCAGAGAATGAGCTCTGAGATTTTACCATTTAACAGACAGGGAAGGCCCTGTGTGCCTGCTGGGTTGCAGGGTTTTGATTCCCTTGTTGAAAGCTGGGCATCCAGCGCTCCCCACCCCCAACCCCAGCACAGATGCAGTCAGGGCTACAGAACAATTGTAGAGTCGGGACAGCTTCTGGGTTAGCCAAGACTCAGGCTGAACCCCAAATGAAAGGAAGGCTCTGTAGCTTTGACAGGCGAAGATGTTAGTAAAGATGCCAGCTGATGGCGGTTCTCGGCAGGTGCTTTTTCTTAATTGATCCAAGAGCTCCGGCTCATTTTGATAGATAATATATATTTATTAAGAGCATTCACGTGTGTTTTATAATGTTCCTTGATTTCCCCTTTGCTGACTCGCATATTCAGAAAAATAAAAATCATTCAAGAAGCTTCAAGACAATCAATATGTACCATACATGACTGTAATATAAATACTGCAGAGTTAAAAAGTTGTGAAGCATGGGCAGATAGGTTTTATTTTCAAAATGCTGTTCTTAACCCAAAAATAAAGGCTTTACTATTTACACAAGACGTGTGCTAGCGTGTCAAAATCACCCACACTGGGCCTTTTGCTGAATCTGGGATTTTTTTTTTTTTTTTTTTTCTGAATGGTAGAATCTTGGTTCTCAGAGCAAACTGCAGAAGAAATGAATGCAGTAAGTTAACTTATCCGTAATAAAAGCAAGACTTTAATACTTTGGGGCCTAGACAAGGGAAATTCTTCATGATCCTTGTCTGGCTTTAAGTAAGCCTCATGGTGGGCTGGGAATGTATCTTGGTGGTCGGGTCGGGCAGCTGCCCAACACCACAAGAAATGAACAAAAGAGAGATCTGACACTTCAAGTACAGATCGTTTTGAAAGCGGGAAAACAGTGACACAGCACCTCATCTCCAGTGTGGATGAGATTCCATGGTGTTTTGAACAGTGGTTGGCAGGGGATGCTCCGGAATCAGGAAGTATCAGGATGTAGAGAAACACTTCCGGATGATGCAGCAGGCGAGGCCTCCTCCCCACTGCTTACACTAAAGCTTGTCTGCCACAGGTCCTTTCTGGGCTGCACTGAGCAAGTAGTTCTGTTAATTCGAAATGGAGAGCACATTGGACATCTTCCTGGCCTGGGATAACCAGTGCGCTAGCCACGAAGGGGAAGAAGGGGCGCAGAGTTAAGGAGATGAAATTGTGGCTGCACCTACCTCCTCGTCCTCCATTTTGCATTTCACTGCAAAGAGATGAAAGAGAAAAGTCAGGATTGGCTTCCACTGGTGGGCATGTCAGCTTTTGGAAGCTGGGAGGGGGTGGACCAAGCCCGTGGCTGAGCATCTGCTGGGTCTCCACTGTGGAGGCACAAGTCAGTTTCTGCATGGTTCAGGCCATTCTTTTTTTTTTTTTTTTTTAAAGTCCTGGGGCTAGAACTCAAGGCCTGGGTGCTGTCCCTGAGCTTCTTTGTGCTCAAGGCTAGCACTCTACCACTTAAGCCATAGCTCCACTTCTGGATTTTTCTGAGTAGTTTATTGGAGATAAGAGTCTCACAGACTTTCCTGCCCAGACTAGCTTCAAACCATGATCCTCCCATCTCATCCTCCTGAGTAGCTAGGATTATAGACGTGAGCCACCAGCACCCAGCTAAGGCCATTCTTAATCCACTGGGAAATGGTTAGACACACAAACTCAGGACCCCATTTCAGAGGCATAGAATCAAATGGGAGAAGAGGCCCAGCCTCCTGCATTTTAACAAGGCCATCAGGGGGGCTCTAATTGGTGCCACATGAAGTTTTGAGGCCTACAGGCTGTCTACCCTGGCTGCTGATAAGATTGAGGGGTGGGGTGCCTGAGTCTCACCCCAGAAATTCCACTGCCACGGGCCTGGGGCCCTGCTGACAGCATCAAAGCTGTGGGTGGCCAACATGCAGGCAGGATTGAGAGAGACTGCTGCTTTTGGTCTTCTCTTTAAAGAAACATGACTAGGAGACCCTCAAAGGAGTCCAGAATCCTCTGGGCGTCATCTCCTTTCCTGATGGCTGCCTGTGAGTATCAAAACTTAAGACTATTTGAAAGACATTGTCTCTGGTCTACCACTGCAGAAGGCACAGGTGGCTGGGAGTAGGGGGAGGGGAACAGGCTTCCAGGAGGAATTCCCAGCCCTTGGGCTTCCTCCTTTAGCCTGAAGGAACAACTTATCTGCTTGCATTGGTCTAGGGCTGCATCCATTCCCTGCCACCCCCTACACTGGCGCACTGGCAGGACAAGGAAGGCATTGCAGATGTCTTTAGCAGGGGAGGCGGGGAGGGCTGAGCTAGGGACTTCTGCTCTGTCCAGGCAGAAGCTGAGACCCACCATCTAGCACAGAAAGGTTGGAAAGAAAAGTGGCAGCCAGGCTTCATGGGCTCACGCCTGTGATCCTAGCTACTCAGGAGGCTGAGATCTGAAGATCGAGGCTCAAAGCTAGTCTAGGCAGGTAAGTCTGTGAGGCTCTTCTCTCCAACTAACCAGTAAAAAGACAGAAGGGGAGATGTGGCTCACATGGTAGAGTGCTAGTCTTGAGCAAAAAAAATTCAAGGGTCAGCATCCAGATCCTGAGTTCAAATTGCAGTAGCAGCATGCATATACACACACACATTGACAATATGGTCTGGCAGTGGAACTATGCCCATGCCCAGGCCCTGCCCTACACGAAGGCATCAGCCTCTGCAGGGACAAGTACATGAAATGGAGCATGACAACGGACTCCATCCAGAACCTGTGGTCCCTACGGAGCCCCGCACACAGGAACTCAGAGCCTGTGTTCCCTGCAGATGCCACACACAGGTACCTGTGGCAGGAATTAGGATGCTCACAACCACAGGAGCCCAGGAACATCCAAAATGTCCATCAACAGCCCATTGGATAAGCACACTGCGGCTTGCCTGAACAGGGGTCCTGAGGCAGTGGGTGTGAACAAGCCTGGACCCAGATTAGCTCAGGAAGACACTGGGTGGGTGGAGAATAATATATAGAGTGCAGTGGGCTCTAGTTCCAGAAGATCTAATTGTTAGGTTTGTGTATAAAGGTGAAGAGAAAGGAAAGATTGCCATCTGAAGAATCTGGGGAGGTGGCTCCATTGCTGGGGCTGGTGGCACATGCCTGTAATCCCATCACTCAACAGGCAGAAGTGCGAGGATCACGGGCTTGAGGCCAGCTTGGCTGCAGGGAGGTCAAGGCCAGGCTGAGCTACACAGCCATTTGGTGTCTCAAAAACACAGAGGCATGGATGGTGTGCTCTCTTCCTTGGGTGGTAGCTACAAGCACAATTGTTTTATGGTATGTGTTTTATTGTTGCTAGCGTGTATCTATTTCACCCACCCCAGAAGATGAAAAGACGGAAAAATGCCAACCTGTTCCTTGAAAATAAAAAGCCAACTAAGGGGCTGGGAAGGTGGCTCAGTGGTAGAGTGCTTGCCTTGCATGCATGAGGCTCTGGGTTCGATCCCTCAGCACCACATAAGCAGAAAAAGCAGGAAGTGGATCTGTGGCTCAAGTAGTAGAGCGCTGGCCTTGAGCTGAAGAGCTGAGGGACAGCGCCCAGGCCCAGAGTTGAAGCCCCACAACTGACAAAAGAAAAAAGAAAAAAAGCCAACCTATAAGCTGGGTGCCAGTGGCTCATGGCTGTTATTCTAGCTACGCAGGGGGCTGAGATTTGAGAATTGCAGTTCAAAGCCAACCCTGATAGAAAAATCTATGAGATTCTTATCTTCAGTTAACCAAGAGAAAGCCAGAAGTGGAGCTTGGCTCAAGTAGCACAGTGCCAGCCTTGAACAAAAAAGCTAAGAGATAGTGCCCAGGCCCTGAGTTCAATCCCCAGTACAGGCAAAGAACAAAAACGAAAAACAAACACAGAATGGCTGGGCACAGTAGTACACACTTGTAGTCCCAGTTGTATAGGATGCTGACGCAGGAGGATCGGGAGGAATGGGAGGAGTAAGAACCCACCCACATGGTGACTGAAGTACTGTTTCTACCTTGGCTCAAAAGATGTCATTGTGGTTGGCTCTGTACCCCAACGGACAGATGCCTCGGTGCCCCTGAGCCGTCCTTGTCCCCTGTGGCAGGCTGGTGCCCAGCCGGTTCCAGAAGAGCTGGGAGAGTGGAAAATCCCGGAGAGATGCGCCAGCCCTTCAGCTTGCATGAAAGGAGAAGTGACCGCAGGGCCCTGCATGCTGATGAGGCTGGCTGCCTGTCCTGGGTGTCCGTCCTCTCCTGCCACAGCCCGGAAAACAGCCTCCCAGCCAGGGAGGAGAAGATGCTATGGGTTAGGCAGCACCTCACCACACAGGCCAAAGCATCACCTGGGGCAGAAATCCAGGCTCCTAGGCCCTGCACCCTATGCAAAGGCTGCCTCAGAGGGTAGGGTCTGGAGTCACCATGGCTCTGTGTCCTTCTGGCCTGGGGAAGAGCTCAGTACTGGTCCAATGGGGGGCGGGGGGGGGGGGGAGGGAGGGGGGAGCAAGTTAAGGACCGGCCTCTGACTGCAAGGGCCACTGGGACAAGCTAAGGCAATAGACTGGAAGTGGTTCCTGATGGGTCTGATCAGAGTTAAGCACTCAGTGAGTCTCGGCTGTCTTTATTCTTAGGACATGGTGTTTCCCTCAAGGAGCTCCAGGTCTAGACAGGGAAGCAGTGCCACAAATGGAAACTCTTACTCAGGATGCTCCCAGACTGCAGAGAGAACATACTTCTAGAACATTCACAACAGTGCTAGGACCTGAGGCCACGCCGGGGACTCAGCCATGAGCTCAAGTCTGCAGTCTGTGTATGAATCCAGAAAGGCCAGGCATGGTGACTTGTGCCTATAATCCTGCCGGCTCAGGAAGCAGAGATCAGGAAGATCAAGGTTGGAAGCCAGACCTCGGCTCAATCAATAAGCCAAGCTGTGGTGCTTCAAGACTTTAATCCCAGCTGGTGGGAAGGAGAAATAGGATTGAGATCTAAGGGTAGCCCCAGACCAAAAAAAAACCCCAAAAACAAAAACAAAAAAAGCCCCACTATCCTATCTAGAAAATAACCTAAAGGGAAGAGATCTCTGGGTATGGTTCAACTGGCAGAGCACCTACTTGAAGCCTTTAGTTCAAGCCCTAGTATTGTCAATTTTTTTTTTAATTTTTACCCAATGATTACTCATTTTGTAGGATTCTAGGTAAACTATAAAATGTTTCTGCAGGTTTTTTGGGGGGAGGGGGGTGTTTTGTTTGCTTGCTTTTGGTTCTGGGCACTGAACCCAGGACCTTGTGCATGTTAGGCAAGTACTCTCCCACTTCAACAATGCCCTTAGGCCTTTTTCAGGTAGGGTCTTATCTTTGCCCAGGCTGGCCTCAAACTGTGATCCTCCAGTCTCTGCCTTCCAAGATTTCTATGGTGTTTATTGAGCCCCAGACACATGTATCGATTGAATGACAGGGAGGTGAAGGCTGGCCTCCCCAGCACAGAGGTAAATAGCACCAGGTCACACTTGGGTGGATAGGCTCTCAGGCTGAGGGTCAAGGTCAACGTCTCACACCTAGGGCCACCAGAGCAGCAAGAACATAAAGACGGAGCTAGCACTACATCATCATCTAACACAGAAACAACCTAAACACCTTTCCTTCTCTAACGTCTGCTAGGCTAGCCCCATGTTGCCCTTACTACATAGTGTCTCCGGAGACTGGACACCCTTCGAAAGCAGGGTGAACATGGTATGAATGAACATGGGCAAAGCCCGCCAGAGCTGGTCCTGTTGACTTTGTTTCTCTCCACATTCTTAGCTGCTGCTGCCCAGGCCAAGCCTTCATAAACAGCCGCGGCATCCTGGTTGCTCAGGGTATATAAAAAGTTCTCACCCCCTTTGCCCTGGCAGAAGGTCTGGATATTAAATGCTGCCTTCCAAACGCGTGAAACAGATACCCCACTTTATTTTTAAGCATCTCCTCTGCAAGTATGGACAGTTAATAAATAATGGAGCAGTGATTGTGATTGGTCCTCTGGGATTCTGGGAGTGGTATTTGATTGGGCTGACTCCAATCCCCAGTGAGGAGACCCCAGGGACTGAGAAAAGGTTTCCTATGAAGAGAAGGGGGCGGAGCTACGATTCCAAGCTTGTCAATCAGAGTTCTTTCTGATGGAAGCCCCCAGCGGTGGGGAAAGAGAATGGAACTTTGCAGCCACCTACTTCATCAAGGGCATTTTTGCCCCCATAAACATGGTAAAGGT